AGTATTGCGGGTGCGGAATTTTGGAGTACCTACGAAAGATGATTCTTGAGACAAGATATGGACAGGAATTGCGAGAAAAAAATCGCGCGGTGAAATATCGCAGTGCGGACAGTACCTTAGGTAATTAAATGTTAGTTATAATATGATTATAACTAAATATTACATTTTATACTAATTATTATATTATTCGACAGTCACATCAATTTTATTTATTGGTATAGATAATGTTATTTAGACACATAGACTTAGTATCTATCTACGTTTAGACAGCTAACATTAATATAGTTTTTTTTTTCGCAATTTGTGAATCGCTTTTACAATGTTATCATTTTGATTATTTGGATTGTCATTAGATTAGATAATTAAAAGTTTTATTATCATGTTCATTATGGAACCTATGATTGATTTAGAAGTTCTTATGTTCATATTTATTTCGAATACTTTCATTCAGCTATTCTTGACGCACTTTGTAAGCCGCTTCTAGGAAAGTTTAATCATTATGTTAGTTTTCGTGGAATAGTCCTGTAAAAATTTGGAAATGTTAATAAGGGCGTTAGCATTAAGAAACTTTGAGTTATAAAGTCATAGTTACCTTCCTAAGACTCTTGGTTTGGTTTTGTTATAAGCAACAAGTAATTCAAAATATGCTGCCAACGTGAAAATTATACAACCATGCACCCATAAACCATGCACCCATGCCTAAAATGTTTAAACAATTTATTGAATTAATCAAAACTATTGTTCATCCGTAATATATCATATTATTTTAAACTAGCAACCGGCCACGGCTTCGCTTAGATGTGGAAGATCTAGGGTACGTGAGGGTAATGTGGTCAAACCGGATAATATGGTCACTTTCTTTTAACTCAAAAACTACAGCTTTGTTTGCATAGATGACTCTGTGACACGATTGCTCTTTATCAGTCAAAAATAATATAAGGTCAAAAGGAAACTGCTCTCAGGCCGGCCACATACATTCGGAAATCCGTTTCCGAATTCCGATTCGGGATTCCGTAAATACATCACACACATTTATTTCCCTTCGGAATAACAAGGCTCAATTGAGAGAATCTAGCCATTGAGTCTAGACATTCTGCCAGCGAATGATGACAACGATTTTCTGATTGCGATTCCATTCTTGCTGTATCATTGTTACTGGGTGCATCCCTTAATTTTCCATTCCACTCAAAATTGCAATATAGTCAATATTATGTAAAAAGATATTTATCTATCCAGATTTTCTTTTAAAATATGGATGTCTATAATTTTTTTCGGTACGAATTATTAGATATAAACAAATAAGATGAAAGGTTACGAAAAGAGATACACATCTAAGATTACATCAAAAATCAGACATAAACACACCTACTTGCTTCGGTCGTGTGACGTACGGCATTTACGAATGTGTGTTGCGACTCATACAGAATCTATAGAAGACTTGTGTTCGGAACGGCATTTTTCCGTGCGAGATTACGAACGCACAGGCTGATAGACAAAATTAACTATCCAGGCCTGGAGGAGGCGATGCGAATATATTATTAATGCGGATTAAAATGGTGTGCCGGTTTTAGTGACCTACTGCTGGTTCAGAGTTATTAAAGGAATGATTTTAATAATATAAAATTTGATATTAATTTGACGAAGGGGATTGAAATTTGGCATAGTTGTAATATACTATTCTACAGAAATACAGAAGTGAGTTTTCCAGACCTGCATTAATATCCAGAATTACTCTGTCTGGCAACACCTATTTTTACCATTTTATATCGGACATGTATTTCTATCCGACACTATTCCGAAGATATCACGGACGTCAGTCTGAGCGAGATCAGAATGGCTCTCCAGCACCTTAAAAACGGCAGGGCCCCAGTTGAGGATGGAATTACAGCGGAGCTTTTGAAAGCGGGTGGAAAACCGGTACTTGAAGTACTTCAGAAGCTCATTAATTCCATACTCCATGGTGGCACTACTCCGGAGGCGTGGAGCAGAAGTGCGGTGGTCTTGTTCTTCAAGAAAGGTGACAACGCTGCTGTTTTGCTGTTTTCGAGAGTCATTACGAATCGTCTCGCACGCAGACTTGACGACTTCCAGCCTTCCGAACAAGCCAGTTTCCGAAAAGGTTTTAGTACCATGGATCACATACACACCCTTCGGCAAATTGTACAGAAGACAGAAGAGTATAATCTGCCACTTTGCCTTGCGTATGTGTACTATGAGAAAGCATTTGATTCCATCGAAATTTGGGCGGTGCTGCAATCCCTTCAGCGGTGCCAAGTTGACTGTCAGTATATCGAAGTGCTGAAGTGCTTGTACAGAAGGGATACGATGGCTATCCGAGTACAGAACCAGAGTACGAAACCTATCCTACTGCAGAGAGATGTAAGACATGGTGACGTTATATCCCCGAAACACTTCACCGCTGCATTGGAAGACGTTTTCAAGGTTCTGGGCTGGAAAGGATACGGTATTAACATCAATGGCGAGTACATCACTCACCTTCGATTTGCCGACGATATAGTCCTTATGGCAGAATCGCTGGAGGACCTAAGCACTATGCTCAATGACCTCAATAGTGTCTCCCAACGGATAGGTCTTAAGATGAAAATGGACAAAACAAAAATCATGTTTAACGTCCATGTCACACCTATGCCGGTAGTTGTTGGGAGCACTAAGCTCGAAGTTGTTGACGAGTATGTTTACCTGGGACAAATAGTCCGACTAGGTAAGTCTTCCTTAACTTCGACTGAGAGGTCAATCGACGGATTCAACTCGGCTGGGCAGCGATCGGGAAACTACGGCACATCTTCTCGTTAGAGTTACCTCAAAAGCTGAAAACGAAATTGTACAACCAGTGCGTGTTGCATGTGATGACTTACGGATCTGAGACGTGGTCCTTCACTGCTAGCCTTATGAGGAAGCTCAAGGTTTTCTCTGCGTGATAAACTTAGAAATGAGGATATCCGCAGTAGAACCAGAGTAACCGACATAGCCCAACGGATTAGTGAGCTGAAGTGGCAATGGGCCCGCCATATATCTCGAAGAATCGACAACCGATGGGGAAGAAAGACGATGGAGTGACGACCTGGTAAGACATGCAGGAAGTCGATGCATGCAGGTGGCTCAGGATCGTGCTTTGTGGCATTCCTTGGGGGAGGCATATGTTCAGCAGTGAATCCATGAAGGGTTGTAATTATGTATTTCTATATATCCTTATGAAGGGTAAATTAAGGGTCTAGAAATCAGAATTGCGCTATTTTTTACTCATTACATTTATACCTATTTTAGTTTTACGAATAGAACAGAATAGAATAGAATAATTTTTTATTCAATGTACATTACATGAGTAATTCTTATTGAGTCATTTTTTACTTTACCACTGGTTCGATAAAAAAACCTCTGTCCTGGGAAGAACCAGCAAGAAACCCAGCGGGACTTTTTTAGGGTTCCGTACCTCAAAAGGAAAAAACAGAACCCTTATAGGATCACTTTGTTGTCCGTCTGTGTGTCTGTCTGTCAAGACCCTTTTTCTCCGGAACGCGTGGAGGTATCAAGCTGAAATTCATATCAAACACTCAAGTCTACGGTCCCTTGGAGCTGTGAAAAAAATCAAACTTCTAAGCCAACGCAATCAAAAGATACAGCCACTTATGCCGCTTTTCGTCATTCGCGAGGGAATCAAAACCTACAGGGTACTTCCCGTGAACTCACAATCTTAAAATTTGGTACGAAGGCAACGTATTATAGCACAGATAAACGAAAAATTGCGAAAAGCATTTTTTAGTTACATCATATAATAAAAATATTTTTAATCATTTTAAACTTATATAGCTACGGATTTGTTCGGAACCCTCGGTGCGCGAGTCCGACTCGCACTTGGCCGGTTTTTTTAAATACATTTTACAATACAAAATGATTACAAAATATTTACAAAATTTATTTTAGAAACTGCTTGGAAGCGACCACATCATTCTCAGGGATTATTATCAACCATGTATTCATTTATACTATAATAACCCTTTTTATACAGTTTCAACTTAACAAAACATTTAAACTTGGTAATAGAGAGAGCCTGTACACTTTCCGGGACCATTGTTGTAATAGCGTATACATTGCCCCAAGAATTAATTCTGACTCTGTGGAATCGAGAAACTGGTATCACTAGCTTGTGTTTGTTCCTAGTGTTTACAGCATGTATGTCACTTTTTTTACTAAAACTAATTTTGTTTTTGTGAACATACATTCAATTTTCGTAAATAAATGTGAGGTCAAAGTTAATAGATTTATTTCTTTAAATTTATCTCTAAGAGACTTTCTCGGTTTTAGATTGTAAATAGCTCTAATGGCCCTCTTCTGTAAAACAAAAATAGTTTCTGAATCAGCCGCATTTCCCCATAGCAAAATCCCATAAGACATTATGCTATGGAAATAACTGAAATAAACTAATCTAGCTGTCACGACACTAGTGAGACCACTAATCTCTTTTACAGCATAGGCTGCAGAACTTAGTCTGCTTGCTAATTTGGATATATGGGGGTCCCACTGAAGCTTTGCGTCGAGTGATGCCAAGAAAAACAGTGGATACAACAGGGCTCAATTCCTCCCCATTTAAAAACACATTGGTATTCAGATTTTTAACATTCGTTGTTGTAAATTTAACACAATTACTTTTATCTCCGTTTAAATGTAAATTATTAACGTTAAACCAATGCACTAATTTTGATATAGCATTATTCACTTCGTCACATTTAAATGATTGACGTTTAAGTTTAAAAATCAAGAAAGTATCATCAACAAATAATACTATATCACGATTATCCCCTACAAGGGAAGGTAAAGTAAGAGAAGGTACTTATAACAAAATAACATTTTTTTAATTTGTTGTCTGTCTTATATTATAAAAAAAGAATGAAAGGATGTAAAAGAAGCGAGAGAGGTGGCGGGTAAGTGTTTATGTGTGTATTTAAATAGAACAAGTCGGTTTCAACAATGAAAATAAATATACTTAAAAGTACTTTATTTCACATTATCCAATCTCCGAATAACTTCATACGTGTCAACCGAGAGGTTTCAGTATATTCATCTCGTTGCCCCTGTACGAGTAGGCCTTGAAGTCGCCGATCTTCTGTCCGTCCTTGTACAGGTAGAGCTTGAAGCAGGTCTCGCAGAAGAAGGCGGGGTCGAAGGGCACCCGGGCGCAGCCCACCACGACCCACTTGGCGCCGAACTCGGCGCACGTGGTGCAGTAGACGGTCTGGTGCTGCAGCACGGCCGTGTGGCGCGGGTACTGGCCGCAGAACAGCGGGTCGCGCGCGCCCGCCAGCCGCACCTCCGAGAACGTGAACAGGTGCTCGCAGTTGCCCTGGTGCACGTACACCTGCCGGTACCGCGCGACGTATGTGGTCAACACGTGGACGAAATATGCCGCACGATTAGGTCCAGCGCGTTTATTTTGCCAACCCTACTTATTGTTAGATAAGGTTGTCAACCCTTCTTTTGTTGGTTATAGTTGCCAACCTAACTTATTGTTAGTTAGGGTTGTCCGCTCTACTTATTATTGATTAAGATTGCTAACCCTAGTTATTGAAAGTTAAGGTTGCCAACCTTACTTAATCAGTCCCTGGCTTTGTGTCGCTCTAATACAGGGGGTATTATCTAATACAAGATAGTGAACATTTTTGTATTTTTAGTTATAGTTAGTTTTACACTTGCCTAATACACTGTATGGTTAATACGCAGACTGTGACAGAATAGCAGAAGTAATGGGTTTCCCATTATAACCGCGGGGTTACCCTAACTAATTATTAAGGTCACACTATTTAAATTTTAATATAGTTTTTTTTTTGTAGCAAATAAATACTTTTTACTTTACTTATTATTAGTTAAGATTGCAAATCCTACTTATTGTTAGTTAAGGTTGCCAACCCTACTTATTAAGTCAAAGTAGCTAACCCTACTATTGTTTTATAAAACTGAAGATAAAAACGAACTCACAAGCCACCTGATTGTTAGTGGCTTTTGCATGTACACCTGCAGTCAATTTAAACAAAAGAGGTTTCAGGTGCGTTGTCATCTCTGGGACTATAATTTAATGCCTGTAATTATAATCTTCAGACTGCAACACCACAGTGCAAGAACTGCTATTTGACGGCAGAAATAAGTAAGAAGATGGAACCTAAATATTCTACTATAGAAAAGAAATTGACAGTCGATAAACATTACTTAATTTCAAAATAAAAATACTTTAATTTATACTAACGCCGTTTTGACGGCGTAAGACGATTCGCTACCCCCTTATAATCCTGTGGATGTTATAAAAACCGAAGAAGTTATACAAAATAGGCTTGGGCAAAAAATATAGATATATCGAAATATCGATATTTTTAATCGCGATATATCGATATTTATTTTAGAGTATGAAATTCGTATCAACTTCGATATATTTTAAAACATTGTATCGCTTTTTTACCTCGTCCAAACGCCAGTAGTATAAAATTTTGGATCTTATCTTTACATCGTGCAAATGATGATGATGTATCGATATATCGATATTTATCACGTAATATATATCGATACTGTTTAAATATATCGATTCGATATATATCGATATATTTTTCCCTTGCCCATCCCTAACATAAAACAGCTATACAGCAGCATCTTCCTGATTAATGCCATATAAATGTTACGATTTCCGACAAATGGCATGAATGGAATTAGAATTTATCTCTGAGTAGTTTTCGGGACAAGAGTAGGGGGCACAAAATATTCTTGTGCATTAAGCCCATGAATGACTTCTATTAATAACATATTGATTCTTGTCTTACCTCAGGGTGTCCCAGCTTCAGCACCAACTCATCCAGCCTGACGCTGTTCATATCCTTCTTCGGGAAATCGCCAAGCCCACGTTTCTTCGCCCATTCCCGTATCGGCTCGCTATAGTCGATGCACCCCTTTCTTTCGTCCACGTAGAACACATTGTTAATGAAAAAGAATCCAGAGGGAAACAGGTCCTACAAATTGCAAAACAATATAATCAGTGACCTTTTATTGTGCTTTTATAAGAGCTCTTTTGTTATGAAAAGGTTTGGAGATGTGTAGCAAAAACTATTTGATAACATGTTCATTGGTATGCGTGGATTCGTCCACGTAGAACACATTGTTAATGAAAAAGAATCCAGAGGGAAACAGGTCCTACAAATTGCAAAACAATATAATTCAGTGACCATTTATTGTACTTTTATAAGAGCTCTTTTGTTTTGAAAAGATTTGGAGATGTGAAGCAAAAACTATTTGATAACATGTTCATTGGTATGCGTGGATGTAGGTTTGCCAACTCTTTTAAATACAGTAGGGCCTCGATAAACCGAACACCCAAAATTTACACCCTGTTCGGATTAATGGGCCGTTCGGATTCCGGTATGTAGATATTATATCATCTTCAGGGTCAGTCATCCAGATCTTGATCAGAAGTTTCTTCTGGTCTTAATTACGAGGGCCACAAAGGCTTTCAAGATTTTTTGATCACATTTAAGGACAGTTGTTGCCAACATTGCGCCAGAGTAAATACAGCGTCTTTCATGGTGTTTTTTGTAACGAAGTTCCTTATCGGACGGTACGAATTTGGCGGATGGGGGCTAGGCGAGAAAAATGTAAGATTTTTCCGTCACGACTCACGACCCCTTTTGACGTAGTGTAGACGGCCTTGGCGGCTATAAAGAAGCGACATGGAATAATATCCATCTCCCTCGCACTTTTTCTTATCTAAAACCATGAAAGAAATATTATTTTGTTTTAAATGACACTTCATTTTAATAGACGCTAGTAATAAATTTATTAGCATTTGTTAATCAATAATATAATACGTTTATCAATAATAATATACTACGAAAGGACTTCGTTCCAACCGAGTGTTCCACGACACTCACGCATAATTTTTTTTAAGAATTTCAGATAATGTACATTCTGAGTGAATTGAATTAAGGCTGTACTGTTAGGCGGCATGTAAACAACAGTGAAATTTTCATCAATCGACCGCAAATCTTCTGATCGGCACTGCGATATTCTTTGTGACAGCGGCTTTCCAGGTGGTTGTTCGGATTATAGAGGGGTTCCGATTATCGGAGATTTAGATTATCGAGGCTCTACTGTATATTTTTTTTACTCTACACTTTTTTTTGCCTCTACACTAGGATTTTCTCCTGTATCGTGGGGGCACTTTAAATACATAAATTTTACAAGGATAAACATACAGACCGGGAACGGTTATTTGTAGGCCATATAAATACTTCTTCCGTGCGGGATTTCAACCCACGCTCCTTAGCGGTGCAACTCATTGCAAATCCACTGCGCCACGGAGCCGTCAATTATAATATTTTATAGTCTATTACTTGTAACAATAGTAAAAGCAGAAAAAATAAAAATTATTTACATAGAACTTTTCTAAAAAACTAGCTTCCGCTTTGAGCCTTTATTAACAACCTCAATAGAGCGTAGATATTTAGAGGTAGACATATGTAACAGGATTTACGTATTGTTGCAAGCCACTAATAATGTCTTGTACATGGCAACACTAGTTACCACTAGCGCCCTCTAGTGTCGAGTAGCAGAATTAGGACAGTCAAGATCCTTCTAGAAATATCGGGACCTATATGTACTCGAACAATCTAGATGTTTTTATAATAGAAGGTTCTGGAAACTACCTGAGGCCCTATATAAGGCCAGTATAGACCGCGACCGAGTCAGTATTGAATTGGCGCTACAAGCGAATATTTCGAAGCGAAATAACTTCGAATTAAAGTGATCAGTAGTACAATTGCATTTTATTATTAGTGTGGTTTTAAGTTTTAGTGTTTTATAATTAAAGTGTCAATTTTGGAAATTCAATCGGCAGTTTTTAATTGTCACGAACGCCAAGCTCGTAACAGTATTATTAAGTTATAAATTAGTAAATCTATAAGACTTTCCACTACTCCATATTGTCCTGTAAGTGTCGTAAGAGACGACAGAGGGGAAAGCCGTTTGCCAAACGTAGCAACTAAGGCAAATATTCCATCCTATGAAGCAATCTACAGAGGGCTATGTTCAGCAGTGGACTAGGCTATAACGGTCAGGATAACGGTAACGGATATTACTTTCACTTAGGCATATTTTTATACATAAATCTAAAATAAAAATACTTATACGGATTTTATGTGAACTAATTAAAATAACAAAGAATATAGGGTAATAAATTAAACATTTTAAAAACCCCGAAACAAAAAGCACTCTATGGGGATATAGATATAGGGTACGGCGGCGGCGGTGGCGGTGTAAGAATATCCACTAACCCATTTTTTTTAAAAAAAGAAAACTTTATTTGACATCACAAAGAAAAATAAAATAACACGAGATAATAAAATAAGCAGGATTTTTGTAAAGTCAAATTAGGTCCGTATTTCAGCTAACAGCTACTGAACTAAATGACAGCAGCGCTGATTTTCAAATTACTTACTTATCTTCACGCACAATCCCTGACAGGGTAGCCAGAGAGAACAGATCGCCAAGTGTCACGATCCTTACATACCTATTTCGCTTCTTTCAGATTCATTATATTCTTCATACATGCACGTCTAGGTATCCGAGTACTCTTGACCCTCCCCTCTTCGAGCAATTTGCTCACATGGTCTTCGAAAGTTAGTCTCGGTCTACCTCGACACCTTTTAATATTAACTTTCGCGCTATATATTTTCTTCACCATTCGGTCTTCACTCATTCGCTCAACGTGCCCAAAACATCGAAGCACGCCCTTATCAATTTTTGTGATAAGGTCATCTTTCAAACCTGCCATATTGCGAATCTCTTCGTTTCGCTTTCTGTCGGCCATGGTAACGCCGCACATTTTACGAAGAGAGCGCATCTCCACTGCATTCAACTTGCTTTTATGCTTTTTCTGGCATACCCAGGTTTCGCTGCCATATAACAAAGTCGGTACCAACACTGCGTTATGTATTGCAAGGCGTGCACTCTTCACTACGCCTTGCCTTTTGACTAACGCAGTTAGGGCACCATTGACTTTGTTCCCGGCAGCAACACGCCTGTCCACATCTAAATCACATCTTCCATCCCGGCTAAAAGCACTCCCCAAGTATACAATTTCATTTACCTGTTCTAGACATTCCTGATTTACCCATATTTCACACTTCGTTCTCTCTTCGTCCCTTTCAAATAGCAGAACTTTAGTTTTATTAGCATTCAAACGGAGACCTTTAATTTCACATTCCTCTTTCATACACGTGACTAATGCCTGCAGTTCTGCCTCTGATGGTGCAATAAGCACTGCATCATCAGCATACAGCAGATAATTTACTTTAATGTCACCCAATTTCACCACCCAAACAGCTATCTTTCAGCTTCTGTAAACAGCTGTCGAGATACAGTATGAACAGCCAGGAAGACATAACACAACCCTGTTTTACGCCCGTTTGGATGCTAAACATGGGTGACAGGTCATGCCCTACCCGCACACAGGCTTTACAGTCACAGTAAAGTGACTGCACAGCCCTTAGCAAATCGCATGATATTTGTCCCTAGTATCCGCTTCCTGAAGCTTCCAGCTTCGGATGCGACAGACCGACTGTGGTTCTGTCACTGCCGTCCGGTAGCGCCAACCCGCGAACAGACCCCTAAATCTAGTAATCACTAGATAGTGATCCGTTCCTAGGTCAGCACCCATGAACACTCGCGTATCACCTGTTTTCGCAGTCGGTCATCCACCAGGAACAAATCGATCATACTTCTCTCATTCTTTCTTTCATGGATTTTCTTGTGATTAAACATAGTGTTTGTCACAAGAAGACCCTTTTCCTTGCATACAGCCAGTATAAGCTTGCCAGCATCATTAACCCTTTTATCGCCAAACTTTCCAAGCACCGACTCGTACCCTGGTCGAGCGGTACCAACCCTTCCATTCAAGTCACCACATACAACAATTCTTTCGTTTCACCTAACCAAATCTAGAACTTCTCTTACATTCTCCCAAAACTCCTCCAGCTCAGCCCTGGACGACGAAGCTACCGGCGCATAAACAGCCAAAAGGAATAACTTCGTCAGTCCCAATTTAAAGCGAACCCATAGAATTCTTGAGTTCACAACCTTATATTCAGTCATAACATCGACCAACCGAGACGACAGCAGCACCCAGACTCCCTGGCAGGCGCTCTCGCTCTCCGCGACTCCGGACCATAGAGCTAACGCCCTGCCAGGGAGCTCTTCAGTACCACTGCCCTTCCGTTTGGTCTCCGACATACACACGACATCTAATTCTCTTTCTTTCATTATTTCGATCAACTCATTCGTCTTATCTCTCATGCCTCCTCTAACATTCCACGTGCCAACTCTGCACTCTGTCTTTTCAAATAGATTCTAATATTGACTTCAAGGACGGTCATACATTACCTAAAGCAAAAACTTAAAGAAAAACATTCAGAGAAGTGAGTGGGGAAAGAATCAGCATAATAAGTTGTTTAACCAAACATAAACAAAGACTTACATATCTATACAAATAAATAAAATTGAAGTATCTGTTTGCAATGTTAAAATAAAAGCTTTTAACTAAATGCAAATGAAAGGATATACGGTACTTATAACAAAAACATAAATTTATAATTTTTGTCTGTCTGTCCGTCTGTCTGTCTGTCTGTTTGTTACGGCTAATCTCGGAAACGGCTGGACCGATTTTGACGGGACTTTCACTGGCAAATAGTTAGTATTATAAGGAGTAACTTAGGCTACTTTTATTTTAGAAAAGGAGTTAGGGTTCCGCGCAAAAAAATTAAAATCTATAAAATTCAAGTAACAAATTCCACGCGGGCGAAGTCGCGAGGAACAGCTAGTATACCCATATAGATCTATACATCATCAGATATACACATTTATATGTACATTTACATGATAAAGTGCTCAACAGCTCAACAACAGAAAGTATATCGTCTAATATTAATAAAATAAACTAAACATTTGAATTTAATTAAAG